GATATTTGAAATCTAGAATAGACTGAAAAAATATTATTTCTAGGGTGTACATTTCCCACCATAGAAGATATAAAACTGATGGAATAACTGAAAACAGAGGGTTAGGTATGTATAGCTTTAATAAACATAGAAATACAAATGTACTTTCTAAATATTACACTAAAAATAAATGGTAACTGGGAGGGATAAAAGGGGGTGGTGCTATGGCACTGTGTGATCAGGGCACTACTCTACCCAGGGGGAGGGTATTGTTTATGTCTCCACAGAAATGGGGTGTGAGTGCAGATCCCACCACAGCATGCCAAACCTTGAGAGCAATGTAACCATGTGGAGCAACTCATGAACAGAGAGGTCTACAGGGCCAGCCTCAATCTGAGGCAAAGTGACTCTGTCCTTAGAAGTACATTGCGTTAGCGTGACTACAGAAATAAATCCATAGACACTCATATGTATATAGGAAAGAGCTTTATTTACAAGAGCAGTTGAATATTGAGAAATCATCCCAGCCCAGTCTAGATCAAGTCCATAACTCTGAAATTAGCCCATATGTCTGATACCAATCTATAAATTCCTCTTCAGGAAACACATGAAATGGCATTGAATTCAGGAACATCACAGACCAGTGGGTGCAAATTCTTGAGGATCCAGTGGTGGTAGAAGCATCTCAGCACTGGCGGGGGGCTCCATTTGGCTCCTCCAGTTCCCAGGACACAGGTTCTATTGCCATAGGGCCATGTGTCTTGTCAGGAAAGCATCTCTCAGGGAGTGAGCAAAGAGAGTGTGTCTCCCACCTCCAATGAGGAAATACAGGAGTTCTCAGAATCTTCAGGAGAAGGCCATATCTACACAGAGGCCTTCTTACCTGGATCCTGTTTTGACAGGATAAACTCCACCCCTTCACTCTTAATCCTCAAATTGACACCAGATTATGTAACTACCACATATGTACTACAGAGGACAACACTGAATCTACAGGTTGGGGAGAGGGGCTGGCTTGTCATTCCCACAGGGCAACCAAGAAGGAAAAAGAGAGAGCAAAGGACTAGACTTCATACTGGCACACCACATCCTTAGGATGATGTCCCTGCACGGAGCTGCTAAGGCACTGAGAGGACTGTAGGGCCGACAACAGCTCCACACGTGATGTCCCCTAGATGGAGCACACCACAACAGAGGGCAATACTGGGGACACATGGTGGGGAGTGAGTCTAGTCTGGCCCCACCCACCCACGCACACCTGCACACAGTGGGGCTAACCAAGAAGGGAGCATAACAGATCAGTAACAGGAGCAAAGCAAAGCCACAAAGCCCCTGAGGCGCTCCAAAAATAGACTTCAGGCTAGGAGGGGCAGTTCTGGGAACCCCTCAGGACTGGTGGGGAGATAGTCATAAAGGTTAGAGGGTAGACCTGGAACTATGTATGCTTTTTCGCTAGTCTTTATTTTCTCTCTCTCTTTTATTCAATCTTTTGTTTTGTCTCATTATTATTGTTTTGCCTACCTGTATAAGATAGGCATGGGAAGCAAGCCCGAGGAGATGGCAATGGGACTGCCGGTTCCAGAGGGAATTGTGGGGAGGACGAGGTGGGGGAAGGGAGTGGTGAGCAAACAACACCATAGACAAGGGGACAACTACAGAATTAAAATCAACAACAGGATGATGTAGAGATCCAGGTGGTGTTGGAGCAACAGCAATCCAGCTGAGAAGAATTATTAGGAGACAGAAGAAGGGTGAGCATGAGGGTGGGACAGGAGGAAGGTAAAAGGAAAGAGAGGAAAGATCTAGGAAGTAAAGCTATGGAGAGAGGCATAAACATAGGTGTGCACTTATGTAAATATATTAATTCATAAAAATAGAGTTATTGGCCTATGTACATACATTTATATGACAACACATTGAGGGAGTGGACAAACTTTTGGCCTCTGCTAAAGCCCTCCCTCAACACAAGAATACTTTGTTGTAACAACCTGGCATTTTATGATGTTCACCTTTCCGTGAAGATAGCTAAAGAAAACAATGGGTGCATAAGCAAAAGTGGTGAAGAAAGCTGGTGGTGCCCAGCTATCAAAAGATATAATGTCTGGGGTTTTAAAGGCTTGAAGTTAAACAAGCGGGCATCTAGAAGAGAAGTAACAAGCACATGGAAGAAGCATATTAGTCTGCATGATCAAGAGGTGTCAATGGGATCAGTTAACTGGCATCAGAAGACCCCAAACAAAAACATATTGTTGAGAATGAGAGGGATTGGAGCAGAGACCCCAAACCCATCTGTAGAAAATAGGACATCTCACAGAAGGGTCACAAGGAAGGGATGAGTCAAACAGGGGGCAGTATAGCACCGAGCAAACACACAATATTCCTCTGATTCTTTGAGACTTCTTTACCCTCTAACTATCATGACCCCAGTTCTGCTTTTCAGTTCTGGCTAGACCGGAGCATGTGCCCTGGTACAGATAAGAGCTCATTTGCCCTGGTACAGATAAAAGCTCAGGACACATGAAATCCAGGTCATGAAGAACAGAAATGGGAGTAGTGTACAAGGCAGAATTTGGGGGGAGGGGAGGGGAATGGGGGAGGTGATAGCAAAGGCTCAAGTAGAAAGCAAATGTTTTGAGAATGATGATGGCAACGAATGTACAAATGTGCCTGACACAATGGATGGATATATGGATTGTGATAAGAGTTGTATGAGCCCCCAATAAAATGATTTTTTTTAAATGGGTTCTGATTGTTATCCTGCTCTTCGGTGCCACAAAACTCAGAGACTTTTTCTACTATAGAGACCCTGTGTCATTTTTCAAGAATCTTACCACAACATCTTCAGTTATTGGGTTTTCTTCATTACTAACAATTGAGAAGCACAATCAATTGTTTAAATGGAAGTTCACAGTAGGAAACAAACATGAAAATTATCAAACGGAGACGAGACGTCATCGTAAGATAAGAAACATGCTGTCATATGTGTTGTCTGGTGCTTTGTCCATACTTAAACAGTAGTCGGTAAGTGAACTCATCCTTGAAAATTAACAGTAGCAGCAGCGTGCCTAGCTTGTCATTAGAAAATCAGATTTTAAATGTAGTGGGCATACGGAAGTTGAACAGAGCATTTTTTCCCCTTCATGAACACAGGTAGTATTTTAATATTTTAAACAAGGACAAGTATTTGTATAGAATATTCTCATTAGCCAAAAGAGACTTTTTCTAACTCCTGCAAATGCAATTCCTTCTTGATGCTACCAGGCACAGTGGGCCTGGATGAATGCTCTGCGTTCTTCTCAGGGCTTTCCCTTACTCCTCTGGGAGAACAAATGGGTGTAGCCAACACGGTGCTGAGAAAGAAAAGTGAAGATTAATGAATATTTCCCTGAAACCGATACAATATTTTGATTTTCCAGGTCTCTGGAAATAGGCATGTGCGAGTTATTTGCAAACTAGATTACTAAAATCATCTTCCCCAAAGTTTAAGAAACATAGTAAGATTTTTGTGGCATAGTGGGTATACGTGGGCTTGCTAACCTCAACTTCAACAGTTTGAAACCACCATCCTGCTCTGTGGCTTCGGATACCTTCTCACCTGAGGAGCTCATCTTCTGGCACTATGTCAGGAGATGTTCCACTGTAACTCATATGCTTGTTAGTGGTTTGTATTCCAAAAGTGGAGCACCTGCTCCACAGACACCTGTTTGCCATGAGTGATCCTGCCAGTAATTGAAATATCTCTGGGACAGCTTCCAGAATAACAACACGAAGGCTGTTTCAGTGTGACAGACTGACAGAGCAGTGGCAAGTTCTAATGCATAGAGTTTTGTGGTCATGAGAACCTAGGATACAGTTACTCCAGAGAGAAAATACACTTGATCATCTTGTCTAATAAGGCATTCAAATCCATTATCCCAGTTACTGGGGTAACAGCCATATATATTTGGTGTGGTAGTTACACAATCTGATGTCAGTTGTGAAGTCTAGCCTGTCAATCAGATCACAGTTCAATGACCTCATTTGGGGGCACTAAGGAGATAAATAGCTCTATGGGTGCGGGGCACACACACTCACTCCCTGTGAGTCATTACTGATGACTAGCCTGATGGATCTAGGCTGATGCAGCCAGAGCCCTTACCTGGAGGACCCATGTGGAGACCCACGCAAGTGCTGAGATGTTTCTACTACCACTGGATCCATAAGACTTTCCACCCACTGGCCTGTGATCTTCCTGCATTCAGCATCATTGCATGGCTATGTGAGTCTAAAGAGGAATATATGGACTAGTATTGACATATGGGTTAATATAGGACTTATGGACATGATCTGGCCTGGACTATGATGTTTTCTTAATGTACAATTGCTCTTTGAAATAAAGTTCTATCTTACACACATGAGTGTCTCTGGTTTTGTTTCTCTAGTCTACCTGAACAGACACAAAATATATCCATAATATTTGCACTATATATTTGAATTATAGGTTCAATTCCTTCAGTAATTATAGATATGCTATCTCCTGAAATGGTGAAGAAAAATAAACTAACAAACAAGTTGCCAGTCTTTTAGTATTTCTTAATTGTTAATTATGTAAATATTCATTTAAATATTGGTAATATATTCTATTTGTTGCTATGGAAACACTTATCCCCAACCTCCTGTACACACACACACACACACACACACACACAAGCGGTGATGTGTATATTGAAATATGAGGTGTATGGTACAGAATTTCTGACTGTTGTAAGCATTGAAGAGAGTAAGTAGAATGGAATTGGACACAGTCAATGTGGGAAGTGAAAGTTTGTTAGTTTTTAATTGAAGAGGCTTCACAAGTTAGTAGAAAAAATGAAATAAAAGGTAATGGAAGTTTCCATAAAAAATGGAAGGACTTTCATATTGATAAGTCTATAAGATGAGTGAGATGAGATGAAATATTTGGATAAATTAATGTAGACGGTTAAAGGATGAGACTTGTGACTGAACTCTAAGGTAGATCTTTTTTTTTTTTTTTTTTTTCATGGCTCTTTTCAGTTTATTGCATGAAGGAGTTACACTAGTCCAAGTTAAATGTGGACCCCAAATGGTTACATCATACAAGCTGTGAGGTTTTAAACTTGTGACAAGGGACAGAGGGAATTTTACTACTTATTGCAAGGAAATCCTCACTTAAGCTTCCGTGAGCTACAAGCACTTAAAACCCATGAATCTTCAGCTGGTCGTCCTTAGCCAGTCCAATCTCTACAAGGAACTGGCCTATGTTCTTGCGCTGGTCGCCCTGGAGCTGAATCACTTCTCCATATTCTGGATGCTCAATCACAGTGCCATTGCAGGCAAATTTCTTCTTAAAGGCCTTCACTAGTTTCTTTTTGTCGTAGTCATCAGCGATCCCTTGGACAGTGGTAAGGGTCTTCCTGCCGTTGCGCTGTTGAATTCTTATATGGATATAATCCTCTGTCCCCGCAGGCAGCAGGTCATTACCCTTACTTGCATCAGCAAAGGGGTCGAAAGAGTGGAGGTTCTGGATAGCGGACATACGATACGATTCCTTTTCCTCGGTGGAAACGGCCTGCGGAAGGCGGCGGCTGGAGAAGGCGGGGAGGGGGGACGGAGCGTCTGGAAGCGAGGGGGCTTGAGGGGGAGGCTGCTGAGTCCTCGGCGGCGGCTCAGTGACTGGGGGCCTCTAAGGTAGATCTTATAGAACACACAACCACATGTCAAATCTCTAAGAAATGAATGTCCCTCAGGATTATGATTTTCACCTTTATTTTCACACATAGTGGCGTGCTTAGTCCTCAGATGAAGCAGATTATGTGGGCTAATAACCTGTGATGCACAAAGAAAGATCTTTCTTATTGAAAGTGAAGAGAATGTGAGGAAATTATTAATGTTGATAAAAAGCAATAACCTTGAATATAGATGATAACCCAGCACAAAGTAAACAAAAACTCACACAAGGGAACCAATAAGCAGATTCTAAAAAAACTGAGAAAAACTTGAAATCGGGATTTATATTTTATTTGGGTCCACAATCAGCACCCTTGGAAGCAGTAGTCAAGAAATAAAAAAACACAAGTCATTGGACAAATCTTCGGTAAAAGACATATATAAAGTATTGAAATCAAAGATGTCACTTTGTGGACTACAATAAGCGTGGATCAAGCAGTGATATTTTCAGTCACTTCATATGTACTTTTTAAAAATGGACAGTGAATAAGATAAAACTGTAATTTAAATTAATTCATTTGTATTTTGTGGTGTTAATGCAGACTGTTGAATGGACAGCATGAAGAATAAACAAATCAGAGAGACTTGGGGGAAATGGCAACTAGTTAAGACTCACCTGTCCGGAGCTCCTGCTGCCAGACCAGAAAATTGTGAGGGAATGAGGGACCAGACTTAAATCCGGTGTTGTGGATGCGAATGCAGTGTGCCAGCATGGAGAGGAGAGCCAGTGGAAGAGCCTGAGGGCTCCGTTCTACTACCAGCTATATGGACAACGGTCCCTCCCCACAGAAGAATTCACTTTAGAGGACAGCACTGAAGTTGCAGCTAGGGGAGAGGGACATATCTGATCAGAGCACAGGGGAGCAAATGAATGGGAAGGAAAGACAGTGGAGCACATCCTGGCCTACCAGGCCTGGAAGATGATATCTCCGCTCCAAACAGCCAATGCACAGAGTGGACCATATGGCTGATCCCACTATGAGACACGACGTCCCTCGCTGACCCATTGCCTTACGGGGGACAACAATGCCCTGATCTGACCCCGGGACACCAAGGCAAAACACTAAGGGTGTATGCGGCAGAGCAACTGGGGGAGCAGAGCGGGGAACTCACGCCAAAGGAGTCCATAGGATAGACACCTAGGCAAAATACTAAGGGCATGCAGCAGAGCAACGGGGTGGGGTGGTGGTGGAGCAGAGCAGGGAACTCCTGAGAGAGTGCATAGGAGCATAGGATAGACTTTGGGGCCAGAGCATAACACCCCATTGGACTTGACTGGAGGAGAAGTCTAGAGGTCAAAAATCATTTTTGTCACTTTGTCTTGCTATGCCTTGTTTTTTTGGTGCATATTATTATCTCTGCAGATCTATCTAGATAAGATAGGCTGGATGAACAGTCTGGAGGAGAAACAATGGGACCAATGGTTCCAGGGAGACATGGGAGACGGGGAGGCTGGGGAAAGGAGGTGGTCTTGACAAACCCAGGGACAAGGGAGCAACAAGTGATCCAAAATTAGTGGCAAGGAGGATGTGGAAGGCCTGATAGGGATTCAGGAAGGGCAATGTAACCAAGAGAAAATACTGAAACCCAAATGAAGGCTGAGCATGATAGTGGGACAAGACAAAAGTAAAAGTAAATAGAGGAAAGAACTAGGAGGCAAAGGGTATTTATATAACTCTAAATACAGGCATGTACATATGTAAATATATTTATATAGGATCGTGAGGAAATAGATCTACATGCATATATTTATGGGTTTAGTATTAAGGCACCATATGGACCTCCACACAAGTACTTACTCAATGCAAGAACATGTTGTTCTCTTAAATTGGCATTCCATGATGCATACCTTCCCGACACGATCACTGAAGACAAATGTGTGCAAAAGCAAATGTGTTGAAGAAAGCTGAGGGTGCCCAGCTATCACAAGATATAGCATCTGGGGTCTTAATGGCTTGCAGATAAACAAGCAGCCATCTAGCTCAGAAGCATAAAAGTCCACATGAAAGAAGCAAATCAGCCTGTGTGACCACAAGGTGTAGAAGGGACCAGGTATCAGGCATCAAAGAACAAAAAAAAAATCATATTGTTAAATGAGGATGAGTGCAGAGTGGAGACCCCAAACCCATCTGTAGGCAAATCAACACCCCCTTACAGAAGGGTTGTGGGGAGGAGACGAGCCAGTCAGGGTGCAGGGTATCAACGATGAAATATATAACTTTCCTCTTGTTCTTAAATGCTTCCTCCCCCCACTATCATGATCCCAATTCTACCTTACAAATCTGGCTAGATCAGAGGAAGTACATTGGTACAGATAGGAACTGGAAACACAGCGAATCCAGGACAGATGATCCCTTCAGGACCAGTGGTAAGAGTGGTGATATCTGGAGGGTGTAGGGAAGGTGAGGTAGAAAGGGGTAACTGATTACAAGGATCTACATATAACCTCCTCCCAGGGGGATGGCCAACAGAAAAGTGGGTGAAGGGAGATGTAGGACAGTATAAGATATGACAAAATAATAATTTATAAATTATTAAGGGTTCATGAGGGATGGGAGAGCAAGGAGGGAGGGGGAAAATGAGGAGTTGATATCAAGGGCTCAAGTAGAAAGTAAACGTTTTGAGAAATGATGATGGCAACAAATGTACAAATGTGCTGGACACAATGGATGTATGTATGGATTGTCATAAGAATTGTATGAGCCCCCAATAAAATGATTTTTTTAAAAAGAATAAACATATCTATCTTGCAAGAAGGAACCCTGGTAGCATAGTGGTTATGTGTTGGGCTGCTAACTGAAAGGTCCTTAGTTTAAAACAATCAGCAGCTCTGAGGGAGAAAGACAAGGTTTTCTACTCTCGTAAACAGTTACAGTCTAGGAAACCCATAGGGGTAGTTCTACCTCTTTCTTTAAGGTCTGCCTATATAAATGGAATCTATCTGAAGGCAGTGAGGGTTGTTTTTTTTGTTTCTTTGCTTTGTATCTTGGAAAAAGTAAAGGCTAAATGCTAATAAAGAACGAGGGTGAGGTTATCATCTCACATATATGAGACAGGAATGAACTCCATATATTTTACAGGAACGGAATTGTGCAGGAGAAAGCACATGATGGGGGTGTGGGGAAGGCTAAGCAAAAAATTAGAATGACCCTCAATGGCTGAATTTTCACAATAATACATTAATGCAGTTAATCATATCAGGACTTGTGAAGAAAGTGCAAGAATGGGCAGGATTTCTTTTGTTGTACAAAGGGTCACTCTGAATGCAGAATTATTCTACAGGGCTGTGGTCCTTACATAATCTGGTGTCAATTTGAGATGATTACAAGTGAAGGGGTGGAGTCTGGCATGTCAATCAAGATATAACCAAATGAGGCCTCTATGTGGGCATGGCCTTCTCCTGAGAATTCTGGGAGTTCCTGGATTTCCTCCTTGGAAGCAGGAGAGACTCTCTCTCCCTGAGAGACACCCTACTGACAACACACCTGGCACTATGCTGGTAGACCCCATGCTCTGGGAACTGGAGGAGCCATGTGGAGACCCCTGCTAGGGCCACTGTATCCAACGACTTTCTACCCACTGGTCTGTAATTGTCCTGCACTCGGTGTCATTGCATGTATTTCCTGAAAAGGACTGAAGATGATTTTATAGATTGGTATTAGATATATGGGCTAATATCGGATTTATGGGCTTGGACTGGACTGGGTTGGGATTCTTTCTTAATGTACAGTTACCCTTTATATAAAAATCTTTATGAATTTGTTTCTCTACTCTACCCAGACTAACACAAGGGCCTACCATCACCATCCATAAAAATAATGGCGAGGGAATCCCTACATATTGACCAACTGGACACATTGCCATCAGGCTTATTCCTTTGATGAGGTCATAAGAGAAATAAGTCCCCAATTAATGTAAAAGTTTGATCTACCATTTGAAAAATCTACAGAAAAGGTTTCACTGCCTTGGTGGGTGGAGTGGAGAATAAAATTGAAGGCCGTGGGACATGATATGCTCTCATCTTAGAAAGTTTTGTTGTTCATCACAAAGAACCAAGGCCCAAACTGGGATGTTGATATCTTGTGTTACCAACCCAAGTCACATAAGGAAGCTCACAGTTATCCAATACTTACAAACATCTATGCCTTTAGGACCAGGACCTAAGAATGCTTCAAAAAGCTGTCATGTATTTCCTTATGGTCTTGGGACTCAGGGCCTCTCAGCATTATCTAGCCTCACTCTATATAATGCATATACCCTAGGTCTCTGTAATACTCACCATTTGTAGCTTCTTGAAGTCAAACCCCATGTGTTCTCTAAACACACTGAGCAGAACCACTTGGAAGTTTGGAGCCAAGTGAATGAACTTGGTTCACACACCAGTCACAAGTTGAAATCCTTCCTTGTGATGCATAGACGTGCAAGACAGTCCTTGTTAGTCCCTGTTTTCCAGGTCCCTAGACCGGATGGTATTTCTGTATGGCACACCTGCAGCCTGAAACAGATGAGTAGGCAATGTTGAGTAAGGAATGGCAGGTTCTTGCCTTTAAGTTCTTGCCTAAGTAGTGGTCACCTTGCTCAAGACCATCCTTCAATCTAACAGAGCTTTGCTTAAAGGCCAACAGTGCTCTATCCTTACAGAGAACATTCTTCTATTCTTCACATCCACGTCATTGACATTCTTGTCACAGAAAAGAGGTGTTTCCTTATCTCAGGATAAATGGATTCCAGGCCTTCTTAAGATGAAAACTTTCAACTGAATTACACTTTAGGCTTAGGAGGTCAAAGAATAGGTTGATGGTTCCCTGATGTTTTTAAAAGTTGACTTTGAAAATAAATAGATATGTAAAAATTTAAAAAGTATTTACTAGTAATTGCTTAGCAAATGTAAGTTGTTATGTTAATAAAGGAAAAGATTATCTTGACAAAAAATTTAAATA